CCATAGACCCTTTCAAGCCTGCCCCCATCCCCAGGCCTTCACCATACCCTGTGTCCATGAGTTATGCATATATGTATACAAGTTCTTTGGTTAATATCTCCCCACCCACCCACACTCCAGGGCCTTCCTTCTAAGATTCAACAGTTTGTTCCATGCTTCTATGTCCCTGGATCTATGTTATTCACTAGTTATTTTGTTCATTATATCCCACAATTGAGTGAGATCATGTGATACTTGTCTTTAGGGAAAGTTTTAAAAGAAGTCAATATTTTCATCAAGCTCAATGTATAAGAATCCTTTGAAAGGTTAATGTGGGGGTGCACAGGCAGGCCAAATAGCCATCTCAAATGGTGGATAATGAAAAGTTGAATTTGAGGAAAGGGGGTAGGGATGGGTTATCCAAAGAGAAGGGCTGCACAGCACTGAGCCAAAGGGTCACTGGGTCGATAATGGCAGCAAAATTGTACTGAGGTCAGTGAAACAAGGAAGGGCATAGAAGAAGCCATAGGAGAGCCTAGGCTGGGCTGCTTTGATTCAGAGAAGTCAGAGAAAAGGGGGCTTTATAGACAAGTTCAGGGTTTAGCCCAGGATGAACTGCCACTACCCATTGCTCCCCTGGTTTTAAGTCTCCTGGGGCCCCTTAGAGGTTGGGAGACATGTGCCTGTGGGGGAATGGCACAGGTGTGCTCCTTGGAGAGAGCATGCGCCCTGGGTCCTTTGTCCTGATCATATGTATCTCTCTCTTGCAGGTGGAAATCTTAGGAAGGTCTCACAGGAGGGAGGGTCTTAATAGAATATCCATCAGCTTTCCAGGGTTCAGGTATCCACTGATTGGCTGATGCCAAGGCAGGGGGGTCATTAGTCAATGTAGCAGGTCCAGAGGCAGCCAGGGTGCCATCGGTCTGATTTTGCTGCATTTCTGGGCCAGGAGCTGAAATAAAGGGTTTCCCAAAATTCACGCAATAAGTAGTTTTGATAGAAAACACAGGTTTATAATTAAAAATTGTAAATTTTTTATTGATTCAAAAAGTATATAGTATAGGGTTATGTATGGAATAGCATATCGGATAAATGGCCTCCACGGCTTTGCTGGCACATACGCACTCTTTTGTTGAAATTTTCCATGACCGTTTTGCATAAATGTGGCTGAATTTCGGTGAGGATCATTTTCATCTTGATGGCTTGGTTAATCGACAAAATTATCGCATTTGGGTTTCAGAAAATCCATGAGTGATTGTTGAGAAACAAATGCATCCACAATATGTCACTGGTGCGGATTTTGGGCTGCAGGCATCATCGGACCATTCTGTTTCGAAAATGCAGCTGCTCAAGCAATAACAAGAATGCGTATGTGCCAGCAAAGCCGTGGAGACCATTTACCCGATAGGCTATTCCATACATAATCCTATACTGTATACTTTATGAATCAATAAAAAATTTACAATTTTTAATTATGAACCTGCGTTTTCTATCAAAATTACTTCGTGCGTGAAACACCCTTTACAACTGAGGCCTAGATATTATCTGTAAGGAGGAAAAGGTCAGGGGTTCTAAACCACCTGACCATCAATATGAAAGCTCAGGGGTCCAAACTGCATGACCAGTGATATGCTAGGGGAGGAGAGGTTACCCTGGGGGCAAGGTTCTTGTTTTCCAAGTTTGCCCCTTGCTAGGCATCCAGGGCTTTCTGTCCTGGCGAGTTTCTGCACTTTCTCCATGCTCTGTTCATTTCTAATGTCCTTGTTTCCTAATCTTAAGGGGCCTAAAGGTTAAGTTTTAGTTTTAGTAAAGGATACCTTGGTATTATAATTTTATAGTGGTTGTGAAAACCGCCATTGAACATTTTATAAATTTAGCCAAATCATGACTCTACTTTCTCCTCTGGGTTCCCAGTTTCCCGTGGCAGCCACGTTTGACTGAAATAAAAGAAATCACTAAGACTTGTCTGTTTTAAAAATGTACTCTAAAATGTTTATCCTCTGGAAGTTCTAGGAAAGGAATGATCAGTTCAATTTCATGTGAAATCACATAATTCTTAGGCTTACAACATTCACAAACATCAATCCTATACCAACAGCTAACTTGTAAAGGATAATTTTTTGTTAAAATATAAGTAGCAGAGTTCTAAAATTTTCTTTCCAGGAAAAAAATAAAAATCATTATTTCAAAAAATTACCAGATATGCATAAAATTTTTAACTTAGCAGAAGCCAAAAATAGACTAAAAGAGATTTATAAAAGCATAATAGCAAAAAGTCTTTATTGGGATTTTTTTAACAAAATAATTTTTAAAAACAAAAGTCCCCACATGTAAACAAAAAAGTAAATTAAAGTTAGTTGGCATTATTATGTACATCCAAGAATCAAAACAGTTCTGGGTTAACATTCCATAATCCAGTAAAATCTTTTGATCCATTGATGCTCAGGGTAACTTTATTTAATCTACTAACAATGGAACCCTTTTGTTGAACGTTATAAAATGGACTGTAGGTTATAAACTATATTATTGAGCTTTTCATTCTTTCCACCAATGCATATGCCACATGTATACTAGTTCTAAAGTGAATTATGTTGTCAATATTAGTCCAAAATGTCCATCATCCCAAGTTAACCATGTTACCCCTATGTAATCTGTTCCAGGGATTTTATGGTGGAATGTGCTAGAACCCATAATTACATCATTTTTCAAAACTAACCTAATTCTAAATTCTATCTCTATAATCTGCTACTTTTTAATTTCTCCTCACTTTCTATACATACTTTAAATACTAACGCAATTTTACCTTTAAAAATACTGCTAAGACATTAACACACATTTAGGCAGTAATTTCTGACAAAGTTGTAGTTTATTCACCAAGAAAAAAGTGCTAATGTTTATTTTAAAATTTACCTAGAGCATTTTCGTAGTGTTACTTGAGAATGATGGTTTCAATTTAGAGGGTTCAATATACACATTAATACAGTTCAAAATTAGAGATTAAAGTATATGTCACATGGAAAAAATCTCCTCACTCTTAGAAGACCAAAATATTCCATTCTATTACTACAAAATATTATTAATTCAGTGTCTGTTTTGCTAACATATTTAATTCACTTTTATAAGCTTTACAAAAGACAGCCTGGACAGTTTTTGTAAGAGGTCTCAATTTTAGTTTAAAATGGATTTCTTTTCTGTCAGTTAAAATAATTTAAAGATGTGCACAATGTTTGTGCTGTTTAAGGCAGGTGCCAAGCACATTTTGAAAGATAATAAACTTATTAGCTTGAATATCCTCCCGAAGGGGGAAAAAAAAATAAAAGAAAAGCTCACGACAGTTTTTATTTAAGATGGTTGTTGAAATAGCACTCTTCTTTCAGACCATTTAAAAATAATTTGGCAACAAACTTGCTATGGTTATAACACATACCACTTACAAGACAAGCAACAGATATAGAATTAATGACATACTTTTAATATTTTTACAAAACTTTTTAAGTTGGTGCCTAGTGGCATTTAACAAGATTTTTTTATTCAGTGTAAAAGGATTTAGAACATAAACTACACAAGTAATGAATATAATTTCTCTATGCCATGCAGAAAAGTCGTCAACTTTTTACACATCATCACTCCTAAACTGTTCTAATTAAAATCCAAACTGTTCCCATTTTGCATCGTTGTCATTCTTTGGCAACAAATTCAAAATAGCCATGGGTTAGAAAACAACTGTTCACTCATGGTCTTCATTTTTGCAAAATAAATGTGTTTTGTAAAGGAATCGGCAATATGCCTGGTTTATAATTATAACTAAATAATTATAAATAAGCAAAGTATTATAGCTCTTTTGACTAGTCTACTCCTAAAGCTTTGAGTTGTCGTTCGATCTCTTCATCGGAGATCGTAGCCTTTGAAGTAGAGGCAGATGGTAAGCTTCGGGCAGCTGACGGAGCTTTGGCCATCTATATTAAAGAGAGAAAAGAAAAAAAGATGTGCCTCATTGAACATTTGGACTATGACATAAAGGATGTGCTGCAAAAAGGTTTAATTTATTTTCCAAACGAATATAAAAACATGCATCTAATAGGAAAAGACAACTTAAAACAATTAAGTGACAAAAATAGTGGGAACTATTTCCAACTGAGAAAAGAGGAAGTTCATACCTTTCCAGAGATTTCAATTCCAATTTCATCAAGAACCTGATTCACAATATCTTGGCTTTCCTCTTCATCATCAGAGCCATCAAAGATGTCATCAAGTGTATCATTGACTTGAAAGAATGGGGAGAAAAAAGCAATTACTTTCAGATTTCAGGCTACATTTACTTTTTAGAAGGCAGCCCAAATACACACACACACACACACACACACACACAGTTATATTACAGAAGGACAAACTTAGGTGAACCAACAAATGACAAAAGTCACTTTCAAATGTCAATGAAGTTCATTGATGAATACATTTTGAGGCACTAAATCTGGAATAATGTTCATGTCAACACAAATTATCCTAAAATAACACAAGTCTACTCTGATTTTTTTAAAATTCATCTTTAATAAACTAGGACTATCTGATATTCACAGGTACAGGATTAAAGTTTTTAAATAAGATTTCACAAATTGATTCTGTTCAGCTGATAGCTGTTAAACCTGACCATGAAAGAATATGCAAGAATCCAATATCCTGTAAATATTTGGGATTCAATTTACTTTTTTTTATACCTATAATTATATTCTTACCTTTTTAAAATTTTATTCAAGATGTATATAGAATATTCTAACAAAGTGTAAGATTTAATATTTTATTAAACTTGTCCAAAGAATGATGTCCAATTTAACCCTATTATGATTATTATTGCTATACCCTCTTCCACCTTTCTCCCTTCCCTTCCTAAAATATTTACGGAAAACCTTCTGTACAGAAGGCATTATGTTAGGAGCTATGGGAAAGGAATTTAAGAAAGCTTGGGAATATGTCACATTTATCTTTGAAACTAAGTGCCTGGAACGTGGTACAAATACAATTGATAGCTAATGGAGAAAAATGAAGGTCTTAGGTAGTTTGCACTTAATTAGAAAAAAGAAAAAGAAAAACGAATGATTATAAAAAGGGAAGAGATTATATCCAACTGGGAGGCAGTAACATGTGAGGTGGTCCTTGAAGGCTGCATAGGATTTGACCAAACAGAAGCAGAGGGAATTCAATGAACAAAGACATGCTAGAAGGGAATAGGGATACATGCAAGAAAGAGTAGGTTCTTCTGTTTGGTTATTTAAGGTGCATGAATGGGAAATGGCTGTGAGGGAAACAATTAATCAGCTGGCCTATCATCATTCTCCTGATCACTGGGGGCTGTCCTCAAAGGAAAGGGGACAGGCAACCTAGTCTGATCTCCCTGTGCTAGTAAGCATGCTGCTCCTGGTAAACATACATCTGCTAGCAAGAGAGTCCTTGCTCTCAGCAGGGTGCCCTTGGTTCAGGAGGGCTAGAGTAAATAAACCTATCATCTACGGGCTTATGAGCCATGACTCTCTAGCAAATGTCACATATGGTAAGTGACCATGGAAGGTATAAATTCAAGATGTTTCATATCATAAATGTTTCCTTCAACGTGAGATTATAAGTATACCTCATTACATACATCATCTATCATTCTGGGTCAAAGAGTTTGTGTCTAATAAGAAAAGATCTCAGGAGTTATTTGAGATGTCCCAGCCCTCTCCCTGTTTTGCATATCCATTTTAATTGCTTATATCCTTGACATGTTAATAAATCTTAATATTGTTTAAGATCTCTGATTTGTATGAGCATGACTTGAGAATCTGACTTCTTGTGTTAGCTCAATAGTAAAAAGTAAATTTGGAAAAGGCTAAAGAGCTTAAGCCATATATATTGAGTTTAACATTCAGTTTATTTGAATGTTAAACTCAATTCTACCATTTCATACCTATGCAACTTCTTTACCTGTCTGGATCTCAGTATTCTCACTGGCAAAATAACAGGACTGGACCTGAAAATTGTTTTTGATTTATGACATGGGGATTTTATTGTAATCAGCAAGAAGCCACTGAAGAAGCATACTCACCTTACCTCTAGCTTCTATAAAAGTAATTTAGCAATTGTGATACTCAAATGATAGGGAAGTAATACGGGGTGGGGGACCGGGGGGTGGGGGGGCAGTCCAGGTCAGAATTTATAAGGGCCTCAATGAAAAAAATGAAAGAAGGGGACAAATGAGAAAGACCAGGGATTTTTAATAAGGGATTAACAGAGAAAAATGTTTTCAGAAGAAGTGTAACAAAATTAATCAAGGACCTAATATTTTACAAAGGTCTTTTTTCCAAAACTGGAATGTGAACACGTTTTAGAGCAATACTGCATAGTAGAAACTATAATTTTAAAAAGATGTCCATTTAAACTTTAAATTTATCTTTGGCTGAAAAAAATAATGTTGATATACTTTATTAGGTTATAGAAAAAAAATAACCACCAATAACTACTATCATTTCAGGCTCACTCACAAAGTACTAACATACAAACAAATACAACTGTAAGATATATGAATTATAAGTATGAGCTTATTAATTCCCTTCACTATAGTTTAATGGAAAAGTTAGTTCCTCTAATAAGATCTGCTCACACCTGTGCCATCATTGGAAACCAAATAAACATGGGAGATACTGTGATCATTATATAAATGACAATTCTCACAGTCATTAAAAATTCACTAATGATGTTTCAAAAAATCATATTTTTCAAATAAACATTCAAAGTAAGAACTAAAGAATTTTTTGAACTATCAAAAATAGACACGTAGTATCATTAAATCCTAAAAGCAAAATAGATAATGTGAAATAGAATACTAGAACAATAGTGAGTTTATTAACCTTGGTAATTTATTTAGATTCTATTAATACACTAAATGCTGTAAAATTAAAATGCTAGCTGAGCTAAACTGGCATATCCTTACACAGTTGTAAAAGAATTAGAAAGCATCTTTGAAAAACAATGATGCCAGTTTTGACATATGTAAGTGATAACTCAATGTTGACCAGGATGCTGTAAAGGGTCACTCATTCATTACTGGTGAAATAGAGACTGGTATACTAGTAGTCTTTCTGAGAAGAATTTGGTAGTATGAACCAAAAGCCTTATAAAAGTTAATATTCTAAGGAGATTTAAGAAACTTACACAAAAATAAAACAAACATTTATGAAAGGATTATCAAACATATTAAACATTTTAAAACAATCTTATCAACCCTATAAGAATGATTCAATAAATTAGGGTTGATGTTATTTAACATTGATGTTGTGCAATATTAAAGCCATTTTATTTATTTATTTATTTATTTATTTAAAATAATTTTACTGATTTTTTACAGAGAAGAAGGGAGAGGGATAGAGAGTTAGAAACATCGATGAGAGAGAAGCATCAATCAGCTGCCTCCTGCACACCCCCTACTGGGGATGTGCCTGCAACCAAGGTACATGCCCTTGACCGGAATCGAACCTGGGACCCTTCAGTCCCCAGGCCGACGCTCTATCCAGTGAGCCAAACCAGCTAGGGCAAAGCCATTTTTAAAAAAGACATCAGAGAAGATTTGAGGTCATAAGCACATGTTGTTATACTATTATGTTTTAAAAATGCTGGATAAGGTTCAAAATTACAAATGTAATATGATCTAATAACTATTATAAGATATGGAAAAATATAGGAAAGAAACGTACAACATTAACAGTAACTATATCTGAGTAATGTGGAGATAGATTTGGAGGTGACTGGATAAAGAAGGTAAAGAGATTAGCTAAAGAACATATATGAAGCCCTAGCTGGTTTGGCACAGTGGATAGAGCATCAGCCTGCGGACCGAAGGGTCCCGGGTTTGCTTCAGGTCAAGGGCGCGTACCTTGGTTGCAGGCTCCTCCTTGGCCCGGGCCCTGGTCAGGGCACTTGCAAGAGGCAACCAATTGATGTGTTTTTCTCACATCAATATTTCTCTCTATATTTCCCTCTCTCTTCCATTCTCTCTAAAAATTAACGGAAAAATATCCTTGGGCAAGGATTTAAAAAAAGAACAGAACAACAACAACAACATATATGCATACCCCATGGACGAAGACAACAGTGAGGTGAAGGCCACGTAGGGGGGACATGGGGGGGAGGTGGATGTGCGCAAAGGGTGGGGAAAAAGAGAGACATCTGCAATAATGTTAACATTAAATTTTTTTAATTAAAAAATAAAAAGGATAGATTTTTAAAAAATGCTTCATTCCTTTGTAGTCTCCGTAGTTCTACTATAATTTGCAATTGTTTTATATTAAAAAAGAAGAAAACCAAGTATTAAATAACTTTGGGAGGGAAAAATAAAAGAATATAAAAGCTCCATTATCTCTACCTCCAATATAAATAGTATGAAATAACCAATGCATATCTGAAACTACCCAATTTATATTAGAGTTATTTTATTTGCACTAATTTTATTTCCACTAATCAATAAAGTAAAGCAGCTGGGGCCAGTATGGCATAGAAATATGGCATAACATAGTTTATATTTTTCCTTCAGTTAAGCATTAATAGAACTTTGAGCCATATACATTGCCAATTTAAAAACACAATACTGTGACAATATGGACACCTATTTAGTAGAAGGGTAATAAACCATTTCTTTTTTCAATATTTGTGCTTTCATGGATGAGAATATGAGACTGCTAGGAAACAGACTTAGCTAATTCAAACATGAGAAAACTATAAGTTTAATTCCTAACTATTAAACTTACTCATTTCTTCAGTCATTTCCATTTTCATGTTCTCCTTCTGGAAATTCTGCATTGTCTGTAATGTCTTTTGTGGATCCACCTTCTTGTTTACTGCCTGCATTGTCTTTAAAATATGAAGAAGTCCAAGTCAACTACATAATCATGAAAATTTTACTGTGGATAAGTCCTAAGAGAGCACATCAAATAGACACAGGCTTTGACAAGATACACTTTCTGCCATAATCAAACATAAAAATGTTAAGTATTCTAGAAAAAAATAAAATACTCAATTAGAAACCATTTGCTTAACATCTATATAATAAAGACTGGTGTGGAAAACCTCATCTGAACAGTGGGCAAAAAATTATGTAATAAAAAAAATGTCAATAAAAAATTCATTACTATTCAGATGAGAGAACTACATTTGACTATTATGTGGCAAGTAGGTAATGTCCAAATTAAAAATTATTTAATTTAATTTTTATAAACCATTAACTTAATATCTAAAGTAAAAAGGAGCCCTGACTGGTTTGGCTCAGTGGATAGTGCGTCAGCATGTGGACTGAAAGGTCCCAGGTTCGATTCCAGTCAAGGGCATGTACCTAGGTCGTGGGCACATCCCCAAAAAGGATACACTAGCATATGTACTTAATCCTTTAACACATTTTAAACCATGGTTTAAAGGAAGAAACAAACCACTGAGTTTTGCAAAACTATGTGAAAATAATTCTTTTACATTTTATGTTCACAACTTATTTCAGTAAAAGAAGTTAATGCCATCTAATATAGATACAATAGTTTATATACATATACAGTTTATAAAATATCTGCATGTTATGTAGTTAGTTCAGTATTAAAAAACACTATACAACATAAAACATAACTGTTTCAAAGATGTGAAGCATACATTCTTTTCTCAGACAAGCAGTATGCAATGATGCAGCCCAAGTAATCCTGACACTATAAGTATGACACTATATCCCCCCTTCCCTACCAATCCACACATACCTAATTCTCCAATGGCTTCCCTTTGCTCTTAGTATTAAAAGCCAAAATCTGTAATTGGACTGTGAGACCAAATATTAATTGAACTCTACTTAATAAGCCAGTCTCATTTTGCACTACTGCCCCCTAGTCACACTGCTCTTTCACTTCCTTAAATGTGTCATGCTCTCTCCTGTCACAGGACCTTTGCATATGCTCCCTCTCACCTGGAATGCTTTCTCCATTTGCTTTTACTAACAACACTTCAGATTTCAGTTTATATACCACTTTCCTAAAGAAGTAGCTCTTGACATCCCAAATTAGAATATGTACCTTGGTTACATCCTACTAGGTATACATGAAGTTTTATACTTATTCGTGTAAATTAGAATACTTTGCTTGCAACTTACATTATTATTGTAAATAATATTAATAAGAACAATTATAATAATAGAGCAGTTAATGCCTATATAACTTATGTGTCAGACACTGTTCTAAGCACTTTATATGTACTAATATTTAGAGTTAAATGACATTTAAATCTGAAAAATCTTTATGTGCCAGGTTCTACCATTTTCCCTATATTGCTAATGGGGAATGAAGGCACAGAAAGGTGAAATAACTTGACCTGGTCACACAGCTGTTAAGTGGAAGTGAGATCTGAACCCAAGTAATTTGGCTCCAGAACTTAGGTTCCTAATCACTGCACTAAACTACCTCTTAAAACTGCACTAAACTTAGGTTCCTAATCACTGCACTAAACTACCTTTTTAAATAGACTGTAATCTACTACAGGTGAAGCCCATGCCTGGTTTTGTTTTCCATTTCATCTCCATTACTTAGTATAGTCCTTCCCTTTAGGGTCTAAACCAATACTTGCCGAGTTAACACATTTCTAAGAAATTTAAGTGAAAATTCCAATTCAGACATCCTCATTATTTTTGGATTCCATATTTTTGAACTTGCCTCCTCACTAACATTTATTTGTAACCTCAAGTCAAACTTTTAGTTTTGTGCTCATTCGTGGGCATGCAGAGAGCACCAAAAGTTTTAATTGCCCAACCTGCACATTTTCAGCTGAGGTCGAACAGGTGGCATTCTGCGTTCTTGTCTCAGCTATTCCGAACAAGTGGCCTTTATGTTGCTTATTTGTTGCCACATTCTTGTGCCTTTGCTGGTGATGTTGCTGTTTAAAATTGTCCCCAAGTATAATACTAAAGTGCCATTTAGTGTTCCTAAGTGCTACAAGGCCGTGATGTGCTTATGGAGAAAACATACTTTGTTAAATTAGCTTTGTTCACACATGAGTAGTGTTATTGCCATGAGTTCAATGTTAATGAATCAACAATTCAATATGGTTTCTTTCAACAGAAACACACACAAAACAAATTTAGGTATACACTGGTTGACAAAAATGTTTAACCAAAGGCTCACAAGAACCTAACCCTACATTTCTCTTCAGAGCAATAGTTTGATATTCACTAATTCAGTGTTCCCAACATTGTAGAACATTAACTATTGCAAATAATGAGAATCAAAAGTATACACCATTTTCCTCATATGAACCTTATTTTCTCTTCTCCCTGGCTTTTCCCGCTTTGCTCTTCACATTCATACTCCTCCTTCCCTATATTTAACAACTAGTGATGTAAGTCTTTTGGATGATTCTATCAAAGATCTGTGCAGTTCACTGAAGCTCAGCACAGATTGATGAGTAGGGGCAGTTTCCTTTTCAGACATATCTTAACACCCTCCCCACAACTGAACTGTAAGATCTGTGAGAGAAGAGTCTTTGTCTTAAACTTCTTGTTCCTTACAGTCCTTCACATGCATCAAGCAGCTCATTATTTACTAAAAAATCAAAAGGCTCAGTCCTTTCAGGTTTACAGTAAAAACATCTATAATAATAGAACAGTAATATGCTAATTAGATGGGATGTCCTTCCTGACGAAGCCAGGGCTGTGAGGGAGGCCCGGGTCCAAAGTGCCTGCCAGCAGACGGAGGGAAACGTGGGTCCCGGGTGCCAGAGGGAAGCTGGTGCCGGCAGCAGGAGAAGGAAGGCCTATTCTTGCACGAATTTCATGCATTGGGCCTCTAGTTTTTAATATAAAAACTGAAAATTAAACGTAAGTTCCTATTACAATTAATTGATAAATCCTTCTAATAGTATTCATGTGTCCTTCTGACATACATGAAAATGAATCTTTTGGAAATTACTACTCTAAAGTAATCAAAATGTATAGCTCAATGAAATAAGCTCACAAATCTCTGACAGTTTAAGAGATAAAAGCAAACACTGTTTTCAGTCAGTGAAAATGTCCTAAAACAAGAAATTTTATAAAATTTATTAAATCAATAAAGAATCTAGAAGTCGTTTTCTGGATTATCTAATATTATAACTCATTTTGCTAAAAATTACAGATTCTATACTACATATGTGACAGGAAGTATTTTAAAATATGATTTGAATCTTGATATTTAAGAATATTAGATTAACTCCAAGTCTATAGATATAAAGGCTTCTACTTACCTTTGCTGTTGTAGACATTGCACCAGCCATCTTCATCTGGGAGTTCATCACTTTTGTTTGTGTGGACATAGAAGTGACTTTTGAACTTACAGCAAAAGTTCTTGTTTTCTGTTTCCGTAATTGTACAAGCTGTTTGGCTAAAACTCTGCAAGCTTCTTTATTACCAATTTTGGCCATCTTCTTAATTTCTAATTCCTAAGAGAGGAAATAAAAAGAGGGGAATAGAATCATTGAGGGGTAGGCCTCAAAATTTATTTCAAAAGAACAGGTCAAATATATATATGGGGGGACAAAAGTAGCTTTAGAGTTGTTCATATGGAAAATACAATAACTAATAAAGAATACTACAAGTATAAACTGTTTCACGTACTCACAAATGTAAACTTACTTTTGCCCACCCCTGTAAAATACACCCTTTCTGCCTGATCATGAATTGAGGCAGAGGCTGTCATAAAGTCATAGAAAGAAAAGAGTAATTTGAGAGGGCAACTTAGGCCACATGTTTCTATAGGAAAGAACCAGTGCCTTCATCTATAAATACAAAGCTGGACTAAAAAACACTATGCACATAGAGCCCAGCAGAAAATTTAAAAAACTCATCCCAAAAGTAGTAAGGAAAGAAGAAAAAAACAAATAAAGGGTTTGGTGGGATATAGCAAAAAAGAGCACGGTGATAGATTTAAAGCTAATAATGTAAACATATTAAGTGAAAAGGTCCATCTAATAAATAAAAGGCAGGTTTTCAGATTGGATAAGACCCAAATATATGCTAGCTTAGAAACAAATTTTAATTAACAACACACAAAGCTAAGTAAAATAATAGAAAATACATATTATATATAAATACTTATTACAATCTGGAAATCTGGAGTGGCTACATTAATATCACATAAAGCAAACAAAACTTGAGAAAAAAGCAATATTACTAGAAATAAAAAGGGGCATTTCAAAAGGATAAAGGAATCAATACGTAAAGATACAAAACACATAAAAGTCTCTGTAATAGCAATGCTTAAAAATATATGAAGCAAAACTGATAGAAGTGAAATGAGAAGCAAACAAATATACAATTAGTTTGGGGAATATCAACAAGTATATTGCTGTATCTGTTATAACTAATGGGCAGAAAATCTGTAACAATACAGAAGATTTACAAAAAACACTATTACTAACTTGACTTAACCAACACTTACAGAAAACTTCAAAACAGCAGAATACTCATTTACAAGCGTACACTGAAAAAAAAGAAGCAACAAAATACAGCATATTCTACATCAGAAAACAAGGCTCAATGAATTTAAGAGGGTTGAATTGATACGAAGTATGTTCTCTAACCACAATAAAATTAAACTAAAGATCAGTGAGGAAAATATGAAAGTCACAAATGAGCAGAAATTAATGATTCTAAATAAGTCATAGATTTTAAAAAAATGGAGGAAATGAAATAATATTTTGAACTTAATAAAATGAAAACAACACATATCAAAATGTGTGGACTATATTAAAAGAGATTGTTAGAAATTTATAGCATTAAAGGTTATATTTAAAAAGGTGAAGGGATTAAGAAGTACTAATTGGGAGTTACAAAATGGTCATGGGAATGTAGAGTACACCATGAGAAATATAATTAACTAGAGGCCCAGTGCAAAAAAAATTGTGCACTCGGGGGGAGGGGGGGCCCTCAGCCCGGCCTGTGCCCTCTCTCAGTCTGGGACCCCTTGGGAGACAACGACCTGCTGGCTTAGGCCTGCACCCGGGTGGCAGAGGGCAGGCCCAATCCCTAGGTGCAGCCCCTGGTCGGCTCAGAGCTGGACCAATTGGGGAGTTGGGGCGCCGCCCCCTGTCATATACAGAGCAGGGT